TTCCTGTGACATACGCAAACAGAGTGTGAAAAAGAAGAAAACATTTTCTCAGTGTCTGTGACGGTGCTTATCTGACATGTTTTTCCTACATCTACAGAACATCTTCTGTAAGCCAGAGAATGTCAGCTCCACACGGTTCATTTCTAATGTATAAGCGACGTCTGTCTGTTGTCACTGTCAGGTAGAGCTGTGGCCTCAGACTCGGAGCTGCTGTGTCTGTCGTCTCCAGTGGACCTGCTCTGTGGTCCTGTTCCTTCCTGCCTGCCATCACCTCAGCTTCACCCTGATCCAGTTCTCCTCCAACACACAGACCTGATTTACTTTGAGGAGAGAACTGCGCCACCGACTGGTCAGTTTGTGTTAGCTATTGATTCTTACTATATACATTTTTATTTTTTATTATATATATATGTCATTATTTTTAGTATTATTTACCTGTTTGGTTATAATACAGTCAAATGGAGTTTTTGATGACATTAGCTTTTAATTTCTTACCCCACTGTTTAATTTCTTTGCTAGCAAAGTGTCTCTTACTGATAAACAACAGAGCGTTATGGGTTTAATTTTCAGTATAACGCCCCCTGCTGCTATGCACGGGCAGTGCTGCATACTTTCTATTGTGTACTCGGTTCTGAACATTGACCAAACTGATCTAACTGGTGTTCATTTTGTTTTTACATTTGTTTAGTTTTAGTTGATAAAATGTCAAAAAATATATATTTTAGCCCCACATAACCTCCTGTGTCGTTTGTTTTTTATATCTTGGAAAAGGTTTTTCTGGAAAATTGATGAGTCAAACAAATGACGTTGGTTTATATATAACATTACATAAAAAGTGACGATCACTTATAAAATATATATAACAGTGACACTGTTCCATCTCTGATTTGGTGTGAGCTAAGTTTGTGTGTCTGTGATTTCAGGGGCTGAGGAAGCTGCAGCAGTCACAGACAGAACCTCTGCTCCACCTGAGGAGGGTGGAGCCCCCAACATGAAGACCTTGTTATCCACAGAGAGTCCTGGCAGAAGAGCTTCACGCAGCAGATTCAAGTTAGCTGCTAACTTCTCCATCACCACTGGAGTCTGACGCCTTCTCACACACACACACACACACACACCCCTCTGTCCATACAATACACGCTGTGTAACTCTAAGTAGAAGAGTTGACCAGATTCACTAACCACACCCACACAGAGATGCTTTTGTTTTTCAAAGATTCGTGACTAGTTTTCAGTTTGCAGACTTCCTGCAAATTTCTTTTCATTTGCCAAATTGATCTGTCATAACTGTTTGATTTCACAGAGCTGGTCTAAAACTCTTTAAGTTGTACTTGTGCATATTCAGTGTAGATCTGTGTAGCGTAGAAACACATGCTGATTCACAGGGAATGAATGGAACACAGTTTGTTGTCACTGCTGTCAAACGGGTTGAATCTTAGTGAGAAGCTCAGAATTATTTACCAAAAGACTGAAGTTTAGTTAATCAAAACCTGACCCACACCTGAAGGTCTGTTGAGAGGATGTTCCAGTCACACCGAGGAACCTTCAATGGGCTGTGACATTCACCCATTTTTTAACCAATTAATTCAAATAATTTTAGACTTTACTTTCTAGGTAATTTCCAGACATGTTAGTCAAACAATGGGCTGTGGACCTGCCAGGTTCATTTTTCTTTCGTAGTGTGGTCTTAAAGACACTGTTCACTGCGCAGGTTGTTGAAGACAAAGCTTCTCTTTGAGCTTTGTGCTCATCAGTTGTCTGTCCCTAATGGAGGCAACGTGTGTTTTCAGTTGAGTGAAAAATTCAGGTGATGTCATTATTTGGCCTGAAGGTGGCAGCAAATCATTTGTTAAAAAGAGAAAAGGAACTGTTCTGATGGTATCTTCCCAACAGTTTTTATCCAAGGGTTTTCAACTGAAACCGTTGCCAACTTCAGGGTTTACCTTCACCTTTAAGTTTAATTTCTAGCTAAATTTGATTGGTCTTTTCGAAGACACTGACGTGGCAGGGGCTTGTCCCCGGTGTGTGCTGGGGCAGCAGACGGTTCGGACAGAGCTTCATCGCCAGCCAGCAGCCAGTGTGTTTGTGTTGTCTTAGCCACTTTTGGGCTGTGTGTGGTTTACACAGGAGCAGATGGTGTGAAATGTGTATGTGGTGCATAAGTGACTTTATGCATGGTGTAAGCCAATCAGGAGCAAGCAGGAACAGACCTTACCTAGACTTCTGTAAAGATCAGTCTTTTTTGTTTTCCCAGCATGATTTAAGGATCTTAAGAGTTGGCGCCCCCTGTTGATTAGCCTTGGAAATGCTCAGGGTTGTCTTTAATGAACCTTGTTGCTGACGGGCAGTGCACAGGTGGTGTTTGAATTCAAGGTACTCCTTTTTTCTTTTTTTTCTTTTCTTTTTTTTCTTTTAATGGAGAGGTGAGTGGTGCTGAGGTTTAACAAGGCGATGGAGAAGATGGACTGTTCATGGAGCAGTGCTGTGTCCTACACTGCCTCCTGACACAAACTCAGAGGACCCACTGTGGTTCTCTGGAACCCACCAGGCTTTTACAATGGCTTGTATTTGCCACGGTGCTGAAGGAATCGCCCTCGTGCCCTCCACCCTCACCTCTTACACCCACACCCAGAAGATTTTACTTACTTGCTTGTTTGTCAGTTGTCTCAGTTGTGTGTCTGTTTTTATTTTTAAAGGCTGCTAGCTGTGCTGTCTGCTGATGTCGGCTGCTCCAGTGAGCTTAGCGTTAGGCTGGTGGTAAAGGAAATGGGTAAGAACCCATTCTGTCTTCAGCAGTGATCTACCATGTTTTCTTTGTTGGGTTCTTCCTGCAAAGTCACGAGAACGTCTGTTTTATTTATATTATATAAATCAGCCTCTATTGGTTCATCTGTCGTACCATGTTTTTCTGACTGTCTGGAAACCACTAATTGGGGGAAAAAGTGTTCAGAACATTTTCAGTGAAAGTTACTAAAAGTACAGAACGAATGTCTGGAATTAAGTGTAATCAAATGAAAGCATGACTTTTTGTTTCTGAGAAACTCCCCCCGTCAGGACAATGGCAACTCACTCGGTTTACACTTCCCTGTTCTAGTTTGACCTTTTCCTGCTTCGATTCACAAGCCAGAGGCTGTGGTTCCTGTGAAAATATGCACTTCTGCATAGTTTTGATTCATGAAATTTTGTTTGGAGAACACACGACCGTGTCACTCTTCACTCTTTGATACGACACGAAGGTTCCGTGTTCCTGCAGTGTACTGTTAGAGAACAATGTCAGAAAGAGGTTTCCTTTGTCGTGGCTGCAGTGCTGGGTGGGTTCTCCAGTCACTCAGTGTTTTATTAATCCTCAGCATCTCCAGTAAAGAGTACAAAAAGGGACCAAAAAGAATTTACGTTAATAAACTTCACAAGCATCACGTCTGCCTGGTCTTTGTAGTTTCTCTGCTGGTTTTGTTCACAGGAAAAAGAAAACGGCAACGACGACGACCTTGTCCTGAAAGATGCTCTTTATTTAAACATATATGTACACTCACTTTATCTGCTTATCTTCTGCATTTTAGTCCAACAGTCATCGGTAGGACCATCCCGGCGCTACTCGTACTACAGAAAGCTATCGTTAGGAAGGTCACACAACAGAGAGCAACACTTGATTAACGTGAGTCACTAAAGTCCTAAATACACTCAAACATACAGTATGTGTTGTAGGCATTTACAGCGGGTCGGGGGTGCATTCACCTCCTCATAGTCATCAGAAAAAACACAAGACTTAACTCTGAGGATGCAGTTTTTCAGCAGTATCTGTAATTTACATCGTATGTACTGTATCCAACCTCTCGCCACGTGTGTCGGTGACGAATGGGTCGATGCAGAAGACGTTCGGAGAAACGTTCAGATAAAGATAAAGAAGGAACCAGCGGTCATTTCAACTGGTCACATGACTTAAAGCTGATGAGATGAAAACTGTCTGATTTGTCCTGTCACTGAGAGACACCCAGGAATTCACCTCTACTTTTTATGGACACTGAGCAAGTCCTCTAAATCCAGTGGATTTTTTTCCATTGAATTCTTTCTTTTCTCCACCTTACTTCTATTCCAAATACTTCAGTAATACATTTAAAAACCTGATTCTTCAGCTGAGTCTGGATCAGACACAGCTGACTGGGGTGCTCTGGGTCACAGGAAGTGATGTATTTGGTGCGATGTGATGAACTTCTGGCACGTGTGGGGAAGTGGGGACGAGGTTTCTGTGAAGAGGTCTGTGTCAGCTACATGATGGAACACTGTGTGGCTCCACAGCAGTCCTTAATGATGGCGACCCCTGACTTGGTGATGGAGGGTTTGTTGGGAGGTGGCTCCAGGATCTGTCTCCTGGGTTTGGGGGGATCTTAAAAAAAAAAGATAGAAAAAGATCCCACCATGAGAAGTCACCTGTGTACCGTACTGTACTGTACTGTATCGGGATTGTTTGATTGTCGTACTCACTACTTTGTGCAGCTTTCAGTTTGTTCTCCAGAGGCATCAGCTTCAGTCTGAGAAACTCTGCCATCTCCTTGTCCTCCTCTCGTTCCCTGAGGTGATAAATAATTCTGCTTTAGTTGAAGATTTAAATGCAGGTTCATAAATCACACGTTGGTTTTAGCTGACCAGTATTTTAATTTACAGCAACAATGATTATATAAGGTCATGTTGCGAGGCAGTTTTTAACCAACAATGAAAAAAGCTTTTGCAACAAAATCCCCAGGTGCCTACACGTTCGTGTGTAAATCCTTTTTTTCCGAGACAAAGGGGAAAAAAACTGGAAAAAATATTTACCTGCGAACAAAATAGTTAATTAAAAAAAACGAACTACACTATGTTTCTTTGATTTGCAACATGTCTTTGTCCCGCCATTTGTGGAACAACTGCCCTACTTTGAACACCACGCCCTGAATCTTAATCTGGCAATCTAAATTGGCAGTAGTTAGTGTGAATGTTTTTGTGACTGTTGTTGGCAAACTGTACAGGGTGCAAAACTGTCCTGAGATTGACTGACTCCAGTGGTTGAAAAAGGATGGATGGACCACACAGAGGGGGGTGAACCTCACTTTGGTGTGTGAGAGTCCTCTACCTTAATCTCTCCACCTCAGCGTCGTCCACCAGGAAGTCCCTCTTCTGCACCAGTTTGTGGATCTTCAGGATCAACTCCTCTTCTCTCTGCTTGTGCTTCTTTGTCTTTTCTTTGTCTGGAGGAGTTGAGGAAACACAGTCGTCATAATGCTGTTGGTTTTCTGTGTTGTTGTTTTTTTCCCTTCTACCCTCAGGCTTTGTTTACAGGCTCATGCAGGAGTCCTGGAAATCTGCAGACTGGGCGGAACCCTTAGCAGTGAGTCACACTTACTGTATGTAACTTCTAAGAAAGGCGGACGCTAAGTTATGCATAAAGTTTGAAAATAAACACTCTGTACGAATGTTACCTCCATGTTTTACACTGTGTGCCTCTGCAAGTACAACCAGTACGACCAAAATTAGAATACAGCCTGGTGTTCTACTGAGACCAGGAACAAAAACAGAATGTGATCCTAAGATGATTAGCCTACATTTAGCCACACTACATGAAGTAATACTACTACTACAACTGGTACTCTAATTCAGTCTGACACCAGACAGAAATTATAAAGTAAAATTACTCCACATACCACTAGAGGGAGCCCATTTACGATCAGCGGTACTTGTACCATAGTTTGAGAACCACTGCATTACAAATCTCAAAGACCCTTTTTCCACCCCCACAGCGCTCCAGTGGTGGGTGGATGTAGTGACAGTTCGGACCGCAGGGCACCATTTAACAAAATCTCAAGAGACTTTGTTTTTCACAGTCATGTATCCACAAATGTCTAACTTGTCTAACCTTCAAGGTCCAGAGGAGGGTCAGGGACGTGCACGGAGAGCACACCTGCTCATGTGAGCAGCTGGTATGACACTGGTACCAACCAGGCTCTTTGGACAAAAAGTGTTTTTTAAAATAAATGACCCCAAATGTTTTTATATCCCTTTCCACAAACAGAAAGGAGCAGCTTCAGTGTGGATCTCCTCTGGGGCAGAACAACCAGACGGACACCAGGCTGTCAACACTCAATATCAGGGTTTGTGGGTCGCTGCCCCCTGCTGTACGGCTGTGGTTGGCTGTCAGCAGATGGTGTCTACAGCCCACAGAGGCCACATCAGCTGATGTCACGTCCTAATGTTCTCAACTGTGAGGTTGTAACGGCCTGATGTGAGGTGATGTTACCACTTTCTGCCCCAAACGTTTACATTGGAGAGGGGTTTTTACTGTAGGGCAGCAATGAGTTCTGGGATTTGCTGCAGTTAAATTTGTGTGCTTTCATAAGAGTCTCCTGTGGATGAACTTTAGTTTCTCGCCCCCTGTAGCTGGTGAATTCAGACACAGTGTAGAAGTGTACTTTAACTTGCCTTACTGAACGATTCGATCAGCGCGTCTACTGTTAGTGGCTGTGGTGTGTGTTTGACCTGTACCTGGAACAGCCACGATCTGCCTCAGCTCCTGCTTCAGGCTCATGATGTCTTTGCAGAGCTGAATGTCGTCCATCCTGTAGTGAGAGATAAACGAGTCGACCGTCAGCTTTAATTAGTACAGAGTAAAACAGCTGAGAGTGATGCAGTGGTATGAAGTCACTCACTACAAGTCATCTGGACTGGACATGCATGAGTGATGGAGTCACTGTTAAAGTAAAAATCAAACTGGCTGGGAGTTGAACCAATGACCATCTCGAAACCCTGATGGTCATGGAGATGCCTGTTTTATCCTTGCAGCTTCACATTGACCACCTGACTCTCTGACTGTCTTTTCATGCCGTTGTTGTACACTGTGGATTTTTCCTTTGCGTCAGACTGAAGCTGCACAGTTTGTAGTGTGAATTCCTGATCAACCAGCACGTCAGTTCAAGCACTCGTGGCTGTGATGTACTGTAACCTTCATCTAGACGTCACCGCCTCACCTGCCAGCGGCACGTGTCACCAATCATGACAGTGTGTGCACAGTGGTGTGACGTACGGCGTCAATGATCCCCAGCTGCAGCCGCGACACCTCGGCCTGTCTCTGCAGAGAAGTGACGGCCACCACACGTTTAATTCCTGTGATGGATCATGTCTATGACTCATCTGCTGCTTTCTCCTCCTCCTCCCTCTGTCTCCCCCTAACACCTCCCCCCCAGCATTTTCTTCTCCTTCGTTCTGCCTCGTGCTTCTGCCTCTCTATCTGTGGATTCCAGCAGCTCCTGAACTCTGACTCTCCATCTGCTACTGTTGTGTCTGTGCATGTGCGCGCGCACATCATGTTTTTCTACCGTCCTGAGTTAGACACACACACACTCGCACGCCGCCAATCTATCTGACAACAGATATTTAAGCCATAAACAGCATGTTGGTCTAATGAAGCCGCACCAGTGGGCGTGTGAACCAACAGAGTGAAGTCTGTGAGAAGTGTATCAGCTCCGTCCCACTCAACAGCCGTCACACTGCAGGTGTTCAGAGTGTAACAGCCTCACATTTGTTACGGTGCTGCTGACGTGACTGGACACAGTCTCTCCATTAGACAATAAGACGTTGACTCTCGGTAACGGCCCACCTTTCATCAATTCATTCACTTCTCTGTTTTGTTCCTCCTCAGGGTCATGTGAGGGGCTGCAGCCAATCCCAGCAGTCCTCACTCTGGACAGTTCTCTCTTCCATCACACAGTCACAACTATGCTCTGTTCAGAGTCAACAATCGTGACGGACTGGAGAACTGTCCAGAGTGAGTCTCCGACCTTGACTCACAGCTGCTGTGATTGGCTGCAGCCTTCCTATGACCTGGATTAGGATTGAGGTAGAGAATAAATAAATGTTTTTTTTTCTAAAATTAATCTCCATTATTATTTAAATTACAATAAAATGAACCAATTCTACCCAATGTGATATAATAAAGTGTCACAAAGTACTGGTGGGTTCTCCAGCTTCCTCCCCTCCTCTAAAACCAGGCAGGACTGGGCTAACTGCTCTAAACTGACCAGTTGGGAAAGTGCGGTTGTGAATGTTTGTTTTCCGTACGACTGCAGAAATCCGACTGCAGTAAAGTCTGATTTGTCAACTTTCCCTTTTCCTTACATCAGGTTACATCACTTTTAGAAAGTGCAGTGTTGGAAATGCCACAAACTGTTTTCCTGACAAGTATCTGCACAGTTTTCAGTACTGAACGTCATACTAATCTACAGCCTTGGTGTGAACTGACGAGTACAGCAGGACAACAAACAGATTCAGTTGGTTGTTTTTTTTTTGTTTGTTTGTTTTTTGTTTTACAATTCCCTGATATAGACAATGATGGATTAGACAGTGAGAATAATGAAGTGATCGGTGAAGCTGCTGCTGCTGCTGAGGAGCCAACAGTTTCATCACAGTGACTCACTCCCACAGTTTTTATCAGTCTGTTTCAAATACGAAAACTCTGTCCATATTTGTGTACGACTGTCTTAAAGCAGTGGTCATATGCCACAGAGAGACGGCACACCAGTGCAGTGTTAGTGCGTCACCACCCTGTGTCATGGCAACAGTATCAGCTTCATTATATATTTAAGGATGTCGGCAGGGACTGTTATGACACTGGATCTGATACTGATCATAACTGCCACGTCTGTGGAGGAAGATGTTACAGCTTGTACAGAAAATAATCACATAAAAACAATACTTGGAATCATTGATCCTCGCAGTCACTTTTAGAGACGTTCCCCCGTATGTTCTTCCTTTCAAGGCCCAAGTTACAGTTTTAGATTCACATCAATTTGTTTCAATCACTTTAATTAGACAAAACTGCATACATTACTACAGGCACAGGCCACACGGTGGTCAAGTGTTTAATGCTCCTACCTTACAGCAAAAAGATCATCTGTTTAAGCCCCGGTGCCCTTACTCCCAGATGTTGTGATTTTATCACCCTTGGTTTGGAGGTGGTTATAATAAATAGTTGACTGTTTTCCCATGGATTGTATATAAAAAATGGACATTCACTCTGTGTGTCTAATTCTTATGGTCAGGCCAAGTATTTCTGCTTTAATCCCAGGCATGAATAACTTCACCAGACTTCACGGACTCACATGAAGCGCAGCTCGGACTCCCGGCGCACCAGAACCTCCCTGAGGCGCTGAATACGAGCCATCTCCACCTCAATCTCATCTGGAGACATGGTGCTCTCTGCCATGGACACATCGGAGTGACCTGAGGGACAGAGGGACGACGTGCGAAGTTATTGAGCGGCAACAGAAAGGTGAGTAGGAGAGAGTTGAAGCAGCAGCAGCACAAAAGCACACCTTACTCACTGAATTATCAAGGCCACTGTCATTACAGGGTGGATAATGACTGATGTTCAAACACAGTTCTGGAGTTTTCATACCTCTGCTAACGCTGTCGTTTGCAGATTTAGTTCCAAGGCCTTTCATTCTGCTGGTACGGACCTTGAACATGTTTTTGTCATAATGAGAGAAGAGGTGATTTCAGGTTGATCAGTCTCTCCAGTGCTACAGCAACAAACGACATCTAGGATACTGTGACTGGAATTTATAAAAACAGTACCTAATGGTACCACAGACAGATTTAGAATCAGTCTCTGCAGTCATTGTTAACGGCTGTAAAACTGTTCATCTGCAGTCTACACGACCCTCCTTGTACAAATCAATGATAATTACCACTGTCAAACTAATAACATTGAATCAGATTAATCTCAGGGTAGTTATGGATTAATTATGATCTATTTTGATTAGCTGTGATGGTAATTAATCATGATTAATCATCATGGAACAATAGGACCAACATCAGCAGATAGAGGTCAGTGTTTTTCACCTATTTTAATCTGTGACTAATCCAAATGAAGGAATTATTAATATGGAAAATTTTTGGAGAAGAAATACAAGACTGGAATTGGGTCTTGAAGGTCGCAGGGTCCAAATCCACCATCTGCCAAGGTGCCACCCAGAGGTCACATTTCATATTGTGCTGTGTCACAATGACAAATAAACCACTTTCACTCCATTACTCCTCATCTTGTAATGCATGTGGAAGGTTTTGGATTAGTTACCTGGTCACATGACTCAATCTGCAACCACCAAGTACAGTGCTCTGACCAAACACTTGGTCCTCGGATCTCTGTGCTGACCACTGCTAATGCTAAACTGACCATAACAGCATCTTACAGTTGTCACTCATTCATTCATTCAGTTGTCTTCTACCACTTGATCACTTTCACGTCTAACAACCATTCACACTCACTCATTCACACCTACAGCAGAGGCAAGTTAGAGTGAACAGTTAACCTAAGTCTGCATGTTTCTGTCTTTGTTCTTAGAACAGTGTTCTACTGTATGCTGTGACCCACCACCACCACAGGATCTTCATGACGGAGCTGTAGAGTGTGTGTCTGCTATACACACACACACACTGGATCAGCTCTTCATTCCCCTGCAGCAGCACCAACTGCAGTCTGCCCTGGTGGTACTTTTTTAAGTGGATCTTCCCGAGGACAGAGCTGACTCACCACAGCAGACATGAGCCTGGCTGATGACGTGGACACGTCAGGAGCGCAAGAGCATTCTGCACGGATACAGACCAGTTACAGATCCACGCCGTCGCCCACTCAACATTGGAATCATGGAAGTGCAAGGTGATGCCCTCACCCTCATGAAGCTTTCTTTACTTTCTGTCTCTCTCTCTCTCTTTTTCTGTACTTTGAACACAACACAATAACAACAACAAACCTACAGCCGTGGACTCAGCATTTAAGAGACCAACAGCTGTGAACTGACCAGAAGGAAAGGCAACAAGCCAGTTTAATTAAGTCTTTACTGCTGCCTCTGCACACACACACACACACACACACACACTGCCTATCCATCAGTAACCACCTACACACTCTCTAATTAAAAGCAGTCTGTTCACCAGGGACAGGTGAGGTTCATTTGTGAGTCTCTGTTAGAACAACCCTCTGCCCCCTGGCTGCAGGGGCAGGTGTGACCCACAGTCACTCCTCACACTCAGCTCAGCAGGGCAGGAGCACCGTCACATTAGTGGAGTCAGTCTGGAGGGCGTGGGCCGTACACTGGGCAGCAGCCACGTGGAAAATGTTAGCTTCTGTCACTGGGATTAAATGGAGATGCCCCTGATACACCCTGGAGCCACACACACACACACACACACACACACACACACACACACACAGTCTGTCAGTGTGATGTTGATGCTGCTGCGTCTAAAACAACCACAGCCTCATCATGGAAAAATTCAAAGTAAACACCGAAGTGTTTTTCTTTTCTTTCTTTGTTTGTTTTTGTTTACTGAAGGTGGTACTTACCGGGCTGTACATTGTTATTGTTTCAGTTAGGATTTTTAGGATAGTTAGGATTTCGAAAAGCACACAAACACACACACATAAACACACACAGAGCATCATCTGCGTCTAAATATATCCACCCTCACACCCCCCCCCCCCTCCTCCCCCGACCGCCTTTGACTTAATCTGAACATTTCTTCTCCCCCTGATCCCCTGAGACTCATCATGGTCATTAGAACCAACCAGGAGTCAGGTCTGAAACATGTCAGCTCTGCTGAAGTCTGCTTTCTGCTCCCTCTACCATTATTCATTTATCCAGGTCTTTTTTCTCAACCTAGGGGGCAGGGAGGGTGGGGGACGGGCCGGGTGTTAGTTCAGTATCTGCTATATCTATATATCTGCTGATAACCAATCTGCTTGGTTCTGGACTTTGGTCCAGAGACTCCAGGAACATAAACAAGACAACACCCTGAGACTATTTGAGATTGTAGGTTTGAATCCCATCTGGTGTCGCACCAGAGCACCAAAAACTCTACACTTACACTATTTAGTTCTTTTCAGAACCCGAGAACATTAGTGTCCATCCATTTGTTTGTGTGTTTGACCCTGGACAGATCCCCGGTCCAACACCCCTTCACTCCCCCTTCTAGTGCATGTTTTTAAACCCTGAGTGGAAGCTGGACTGGACAACAATGTATCTGCTGGTTTGGTTTGGTTTTTTGAAAATTCCTTCTCTACTACTCTACTCTACCCAAGCTCTAAACAATAAATCGTACATACGTATGTACTAACTTTAATTATAGCCTCAAAATAAGGTCCTGCAGTGGATGGTGGAGCCGTTCAACACAGAGAACTTAGTATTTTTACCTTTACTTAATTCCTAAACACAACAAAAACTTCACTGCTGTTAATCTTCCGGACTCTGGGACCAGGTCTACCTTGGTTCTGAAGAACCCGTAACAATGGCGGAAACGACCCTGGACAGATAAAGCTGTTGGCGCTTTAGTACGAGACTTGTCCACACATTCCAGCACGAACCATGGACCCCTTCTGCCTGGGATGCTGGTGCTGATGCTGCTGGTTCCGAACCTTTGTGAGTCACCCTTTAACCGTTTCGGCGCCGCCTGCGCACCGGGTCAAACATTTCCAGTCACACCGGGACGTTCCCGGTCTGTTTCCAGTCACCTGAACCACACTTTATTTCGACCGTTATGACGAACGCTGCTAGTTCACCGAGCTCACCTTTATCCGTGGTCCATGCCGTTTCCGACACGGCTCCGTAGCTCCTGAGCGCGCGTTCGCTGTCCGAAATAGATTTCTTCATCTCCATGTCTGTGCAAAACAGGAGGACAGAGAAGAAGAAGAGGAGGAGGAAGAGGAGTGTTCTGCTGTTAAATCTTCACGTCTCCTCCACGCGCGTGTGTGAATGTGTGTATGTTAGTGCGTGTTAGTCCTCAGTTCTAGTTTTCACCCGGTAACAAGGCTCCAACGACCCGAGATGTTGAGCATCTTTATCAAAGAATTTCCAGTCACTCGACGTGGTAGAGGGAGAGCAGAGGATACAGAGCGCATGCGCAGTGCTGAAAGAGATGTCAGGGTAAGGGAGCCACCCACTGGCGTCGAGACTGTGGTGATAATAAAACGATAGATAGATACAGACTCTGTCCTCCCGTGTGTGTTCCTACATGATTATTCTGTATCTGCACAGTCAATAATCACACTCATAGTCAAATATATATTTACATTTTTATTCAACAATAAATACAAATGATCTCTAAAGTTAAACGTTTTCAAAGAGTCAAGATAAAATATTATTTTAAATATCCTATAGTGTAATAATCCCACATCAATAACTACAATCTGTTAAAACAATAAAACAAACAATATATTAAGTTTTAGTTCATCAGAGTACCAGTGTGTCCATGTTGGTCCCATTTCTGGTCTAAAAGTGTCACATTCTCATACCAACCACTCACTCTTCTTATGCACACATTCTCATACCAACCACTCACTCTTACACACAAAAACACACACACACACAATTCGTGTGGAAACTGAATTGAATGCAAATTAATATCGCACCAAATGCAAAGGTTTAAGGGGCACTTTTTAAATTGAAGTCTTGTTTAATGTTTGTTTACTTGTGTGGAGCGTCCTGCAGCCAGGACACAAAAAAACTTTAAAGGGAACCGTACTGCTGATGCGGCCCACTGGTGAAAATGAGTTTGACACCCCTGCTCTAAACTGTCAGTTACAACCCAAAGATGAGAGGAAGACGATTTCAACAACGTACTACTGACAAGCAAAACAACTGTCTGTTCTTATGCCATAACGCTAATTCCATGCACATTTCTTTTCTTTTCTTTTTTTTATACCTTTACATGACTTTTCTTGTCCGTCTGACTTCTTGTGTAAGGCTTGACTATGATATGTGTATGTCTGATACTTCAGTTTTGTGGGAGAAGAGCTCAGGACCAACTGTAGGTAACACACAGCTGTCGTCTTTAACCATATCATGAGTTTTGTGTATTCTATAACAATTAAATGTTTGATAAAAAAGTACTAGCATGACAAAAAGACAATAGTGTAACATTATTACAGAGATGAACTGTAAAAACCACCACCATAACCATAGAAAAGTGTAGTAAAACTGGTAATATAAACAGAAACAACAGAGCTCTCTTTAACGGTATGACATTGTTACTCAGGCGTCTGTTTAACATTCAAGTAAAAGGACGTGAGACAACATTCATTAACCTCACATTTTCACAATATTTAAACACACACTGATGCAAAATGCCAGAGTTTTTACCCTTTTTTACCTTTTGGCTTTGACAGATAGAACTTTCCTCTAAAAATCTGGAAATGACCTCGTGATAAAATTGTCAGCAGTGACTCACAGTTAGCTAAATATTGCTACTAGTACCATCTTCCAGTTAATGAGACACTTTTGACACGTCTCAGGATTTTAACTCATTATCTTGGTCCATAAATTATTACCGTATGTGTTAGCTGCCTCTGAGCACAGGGGAAACTGACGTCTGTCCCACACTTCTACCATGTTCATTTTGACCAATGGTTCTCAAACTATGGTGTGCATACGTCTGGTGGCACCTTGGCTCCCTTCAGTGGTACCAGGGAGAGAAGTTGATTTACATTTGAATTGAAATGTGAAGTACCAGCTGTTGTAGTACTATGACATAGCACCATGTAATAAACCATTTTCTAAGTATTTTTTTCTTTAAAGGTGGTACGAGGTGTAAAAACATTGAGAACCACTGTTTCAAATGTACGTCAGAGGAATGTATGACAACGTTACCTGAGCCTCGTCATCACAACAGCTTCTGTCCCACACTCTACTGACATCCTCAGTCATCTGCTGTGAACCAGGATGTATAAAGTATTTAAAATATATATTATAAATAGATTCATTAACATGTTTCAGTAGGATGTAAAATTCTGTCAGTGTTCGACTGAAATTTAAAAAAAAAGTATATGTTTCAGTTCTGAGGAGATTTCACTGCTTCCTCCTTCAGAGCCACACCCTTGACCTCAGTGTGTACTTTCCTCTCTTCAGGCTCCGACTCTTTGTCCTTTGGGGAAAAGATCAAAGCCAGAGCAGCAGAAGCAGTTCCATCGCCTCGCTGTTGTGAAAAGCACATGAAGATGGCCCAGACGAAGGCACAGCAGCCGGTGTAGGTGGTGCGCATGTACAGAGGTACGAAGGAGAAGTTCAGAAACTGAGGAGCACAGGTAGAGACTTTAGCTGCAGAGGACCGAGGCCGACTATCCAAACACGCCTGTTTAGAATGTTCTCTTAGAATAAATCAAGGACACTGGTGTCTTATAAGGAGCTTCTTCATGTTGCATAGCATTGGTAATGATATTGTGAGTATGTCAAGAGAATAACATGGTGTAGAAACCAGCCGCCATTAGTTTACTGTGTCACCTAACCAATGCCATGTAAAACCAAATGTTACCATTATGTCCAACCAAGGTCTTGGGTTTTGTCCATTAATAACGTTTGTTTTTATCTTTCTAAATGACTACTCATCTGAACACCACAGAGAACCAGTACTATAGTTTTACTCTAACATTCAGTATAACAGGTGGTACTGGTATGAGAATCTACAGTCATTTTTTTACATTCCTAACACATGGATGGATATAAACAGACTAACACACACATTTACTATAAAACTATGTTTACCTGCATGAATGGCCAGTACATCAGTCCAGTCTGAACACACACACACACACACAGAGGGAGAAAGAAAAAGGTTAATAATTTAAATTAAAGTGGCTGTTGTATAGTTATTTATATTCATGTTAAATATGTACGTCAAATACCCAGTGGCCCAAACGACTGACAGTCTGAGACAACAGATTGTTCAGGACTGTAGACTGATTAATATGGTTGAGGACAACGACTGAAGTGTTTAAGGTTGTTCTTGTGCCTGTGTGTGGATGTCTGTGCGGCATGTGTGTGGGTTTGATGGCCAGTGCAGTTGTTTTATTTTGCTCCTTGGATAGAGGTCCTCAATGTGAAACCCTGGTCTATAGAATAATACCTTGATTTTGAATCCACCGGCAGTTTAAAAGAAAACAACAGATAGATTTAGAGTCTAAAAATGTGATATTTGAGTCTGGGTCAGTGCTGAGGGTCTCTGACCAGACCAACATCCTCTTTTGTTTGACAAACAGAGGTTTTGTAGATGTGCTTCAGATCTATTCTTTGCTTTTTAATTCTTTAAATACGACCTGAGATTATCCCAGGGTTAGCTGAGGTTAATGATCACAGGAAAAACACGTCGGTGCACTAAGAGTTGGCTCACCCTGTATGTGTTCAGAAACTTGGCTCTGAAGTCCTCCAGGATGTCCTCTTTACCCTCCAGAACACTGAGGCCTGTGTGACATCACAGGTGAAACACAGGAAGTTAGGATGTCTAGACACGCGTGGACAAAACAGGTTCTGTGTACAGTGATTCTACTAGGCCTGAAGAGTGTGAGGTGTAATGCACTCTGTCCTGTTGTTCCATTGATTCCAGTTATCAGAACTTACTTACTCAAGGTCTAGCTTTTCCAGTGTCACTTTTAGCCGCTACCTTCCATTTATCATTGTGTTGAAGTGTTGCAAGTTTTTTGTGCTAATATAAAGGTATTTTTGGCTAATTTAGCTATTGTGTGCTAAGTGAAAGCTTTGTTTATGCTTCATTATTGACCATAAGCCATAACTACTATAGTGTTTTTTTAAACATTGTATTTAGGGTACTGTTTATTGTAGTAATTTAATTTACACAATCCTATATCGTTTCCTCATTGGAATATGTCATCCTTGCACTAACAAGAACACTGAAAACACAGTAGTTTTAGTGTTTTGATAAAACCAGAGTAGTGAGTACTATTTGTACATGTGTACGTGTGTGGAATATAAGCCCCAAGGTGTGAGAAGTTAACACTGCTGATGTAACACGGCTAAACGTGCCTTCTAAAAGGTACAGTGAATTGTTTTGTGTTGTCACAGCAATGTGTGTCAGTTGACCTCTGCTGGTGAGAGGTCAACAACAGCTGATCTCTAGTCCACACAGAGGACACATGGATTGTGTTACATATTAACAGTTATCTGGTGTGTTCAGGATGTAACCACCAAATAACAGCTAACCCTCTGTGGTGGCTTTTCTTTCGATATGACTGTAAGTTTCTTTTTATAACTTCCTGGTCTGGTCCTTCTCTTTCTAAAAGAAATCTCCACTAACCGTTCAACAACTGCTGGGTTTTGATGAGACTAGTGAGAGAGAAAAAGGGTTAGTTAACAGTTACGACTATTTGTTTTGACTAGTCGTAAACGTATGGATTATTGACTTAAAATAAATAATAGAAGCTAAATCACACAGTTAATTGGAATGTAATTAATTTGTACTAAATAAAGTGTTTATTTGGCGGATGGTTGGCCCTGAAGCATTACTGTTAGTGATTGATACTACTACTTCTACTAATATAATGATAATAATAATGATGATAATAATAATTTTGTGAAAGCAATATTACAATTAGTAGTATCAGCGCCCCCTCTGACAGACCTGTGTAGAATACCGAGGTGGCCAGCGGCGCGGCTGTGGTTTGGTCCACGAGCAGTTTCTTCAGGACCATCCTCATCGAGTTTCCCGGTAACGTCCGCTCCAGGAACCGCATCCAGAAAAAATTAAAGTTGCCGTGGAAAGTGAAGGCGACGATGGCCACATTCCTGGTGTGGGTCCAATCCATTCTGTCTCTGTTTAAGAGCCATTGATGGACAAAGTCCCCGCCGGCGAACAGGCAGCCGTAAAGCGTGACGTTAGTTACCCAGGGATAACGACGAACCTGTTTCAGAAACGCCTGTCGCATTGCTTTTTAAACTGTTGCTACAAGTACGCGGGAATATAGGGGAAATGGGAGATATGCTTACTTTGATCCGGTTAATAACTAAAGCCGAACGTTATTTTAAGCAACGTGCGTCATCTCTATCGTGGCACTGATCCGATTTTCGATGATTAAGACGGATTGTCAAACGACCAACAACAACAGCATGTGAACGTGAACGAGAGCTGGCAAAAGTGAAGTGGAATCGTATAATTACAGTGGAATGTATATGGAGTAATACCAGATGAACGACACAGAGAGCCGCTCTGAAATCAGCTGACTCTCACTACGCCCTCTATCTACGCGTATGATATGAAATCATCAATGACCAAAGGGCGGAGCCACTTTTACAACCATTGGTACATTTACTTGTCAGTATTAGAGCTAGCGTGATAATAATCTATCTTAAATATTAATTAGATGGCTATTAACAATAATTTCAGTTACTTATTCTGAATAAACAAATTAGTCCTAATGTTTTTTCTAAAGAAATATCTCGTGAGATGTTTACCTTTTCGTGTGCTCATAGCTACAGTTAAGCTCTACAAACAAACCATGTCGCCAAAAGACAGCTATAAAACTTTCTCACGACTTTTTTCTTAGGTTGCAACTTTATTCTCATACGTTTACAATTTTTGTAACATCTTTGTTCTCTTAAATGTAGGACTTTTTGTCTCTTGTGACTTCAGGAAATGTACAACTCTATCTTTTAATGTTACAAAAATTAAATGAATAAATTCACAACCTTTTGTTACATTACAATTTTAAAGTGCGTAAACGTACAATTCTTTTATTGGTAAACGTATGAAGTTTATCCTTGTGATATTACAATTTAATGTTCATCAACAGAACATTTCAACTTTGTTATTGTAAATGTATGACTTTCTTTAGGCTTATGGTTTTCTTGTAACAATACAACTTTATTCTCATTGTTTTAATGTTGTTTTGTTTTAGATTTTTCTTTATCCTTAATATGGCCCTAACATTCTGTTGTATTTCAAAAATAAAGCTGCTGTTTTATAATATAATAATATAATAATAGCACAGAAATACACATACACTTTTCTTAAACATTCATAGGCAGGAGTAAAGCATAATGTATCATACAGTAGGCGGTGGTGGTAGTGGTTCAAAGGTTCCTAATGTTTTCTATAAAGCACTTTGATGTGTTCAAGTAATAGTGCTCCTATGCTGGGTCTGGGTCATGTGGCCTAAATTTATAGTCAAAGTATTCAGTATGTAAGTGTTTCTGGCGAAGAAACAAGACTTGTTTAGATAGGAGGCAGAGACAGGCACACATTTAACACCTACAGGGCTTTTTGACCAACCTTTATGTTAAAATACTAGTTCTTCAGGTTGTCATGGTGTTTGCTTGCCGTAGGGTGGGATAAAAAAAGTTCTTATATCACTATTTAGTCCCACAGACAGTTCTGCCACCCCTCAACCAGAGTTTAAAGTCTACAGTAGTTTGATAATGGGGGGAGTTCAAAACTGAAGCTCAAAAGTACATGAATACATCTCTGTTAGTCTGGAAGAGCTAGGTGCTAAGCCAACACTTATTCATCATACTTAAAAACCAGACACAACCTCAATTTTAACACTAATGGCTGTAAAGTGCAGACTTTAAAGCACCTCGTCATAAACAATAGACCAAACAGACTCGGTCTTCTTCTCACTGGTCCAACCAGAAGAGTGGGGAAAGGCATTCAGTTGATACATGATCCACACGCAGGCTGCTCTCTTAAGACACAATGAATAAAAAAAGACAGAGGGCAGCAGAGGGTCACATAGTTCTGTTACACATGGACTCATCAGCACAACTCTTGTTTTGGTTCCAGTTCTGCTCAGAAGCACAATGTTCTCTGTTCCTTCTCTGTGCATCCAACAGTGAACCTTGCTCCAAGCATGTGTCCTTTGTGGAACTTTAATTAACGAGGCGCTACTCTCCAGTTTCTCCTGAAATGTTTTGGTATAGCTAAATTGCAAATAATTATTTTATTTCCTGTTTTTTTCCTTCAATGCCAGTGTACTACATATTAGATATGCTAAAGGGTAAAAAGCAGAGAAGCAGGCATTCAGGCTCCAGGTCAAGGTTCAATAAAAGTGACTATGACTGGACGGTCCTTTCCCAGTCTCCATTCTCTGTCCTGTGGTAGTATTGTGGTTGACCCTCAGTAAACAGGTGATCAGAGTGGGGGTGCTCTAGCAGGAACTGAATGGTGGA